AGAGGTGAGAAGCGTGATTCAGTAGTGGGAAATTCACACCTGCAAATCGCATTCACAGTGTTACGAAAATCAGCCTTTCATTCCTAATAAAAACTCAGAGACGAAGGTGCGCTAACACATCGTCGTGTTGCGGGAAACTTGGCTCGGGCACAGCAGTCCGCCTCAGCTCCACAGCGCCGTGCGGAGGAGCGCCATGCGCCAGCTCCCTTTGCCAGGCAGGGCTCAGGGGCTTGCTTCCAGACTCCAGCTAAAGCAGGAAGGAAAGGACTTGAGGGCTGCACCTGTCTCAGTTGCTGTTTCTGTTGCTATGAAGTGTCCCGACAAAACACTGTAAAGGCTTGACTGGGCTCCAAAGGTTTACAGTCTGTCACATGTCGCAGCAGCAGCAGCTTGAGGCAGCTGGTCACATTGCATCTTCAGGAAGCAGAGATGAGGGCTGTTTCCTGGCTTCTGCATGCCCCAATGATGGGGCGTTGCAGCGAATGACATAAAGGTGTTGGGCTATAGATTATCAACCCTAGACTGTTGTGGAGGTGTCGTCTAACCCACATCACAACAATGAGACACTGACGCCATCAGATTTATAATCACCTTATTTGCCGTGGGCCAGGCAGACATTTCACTTACACTGTCTCAATTGGCTCACCATCCATCTCCCAGCCCCCATCCAATGCCATCACCTTAACCGTCCTCATCTGGTCCACCTTCCATCCGTGATCCCATGCTTCTTGCTTATATTCTTCCTCTGGGCCTCTCCACGCCATTACTGGAGTCCTTTCTCCTCGCCCACCTGGTTTTTTTCTCCAGGATAACCCATCCTGGGGTGGTCGTCCTTTCTCTTTTCCAATCTGTCTCATAATTCTCGTGATTCCTCCATCCTCAAAAGCCCAGAAACCTAGCCATGCCCACCCCATTCTACCCTGCCCAGGTATAGGCCATTTAACGAACCAATCAGGTATAATGTTTTAGGCAGGTTTACACAAATAAGGATGGTGTATCCCACAGGCCAGTAATTAGCATTATACCAACCTCCAAAGATGGAAATATTTTCTTTAAAAAAAAAATTATCCATTATTTATATAGTGTTCTGCCTGCGTACCAGAAGAGGGCACCAGATCTCATTACAGATGGTTTTGAACCACCATGTGGTTGCTGGGAATTGAACTCAGGACCTTTGGGAGAACAGACAGTGCTCTTAACCTCTGAGCCATCTCTCCAGCCCTAATGGGGTTTCAAACCATAAGTACAGACACAGCCATTTGTACTCACTTAGGCGTTCCGTACATCCTTGTACCTGGTCAAGGCTACGGGGGGGGCAGCCAACTGTGCAGGTGTGGCCTGCCTGCTCCAGCCCAGGCTCTCTGCAGCCACTACCCAGAAGGTCCCAGCTCTGTGAGTGTGGCCTCTGTGTGGATGCTGTGAGTGAGTGAGTGTGTGTGCTCCTTTCCTGGGTACACAGTGGGCAATTTTAAGGTACATTTGCTCGTGCCCAACTCAGCATGGCATGCTGGCACTTGATTTTCTGTGCCATGCTCCTGATTTGCCCAGGGTCCCTGTTCCTGGTCCCTGAGTCCACTTCTAAACACCAGTAACTTGTACCCAGCGCTTGGTTCATTCTATGAACTCGGGAAACCCAGATTAGAAGAGTCAGTGGCTCTAGAGAGCAGAGGGCAGGGCAGGGTTACAGGAACAGCCAACCACATGTGTCTCTGCTGCCAACGTTGTTGGCTGAAGGATCTGAGGGGGGCCTCCGTCTGTACAGGTGCAGTGGTGTGCCCAGGTAGACGCCTACGATGAGACCGCAGGTTAGTTTCGTCAGTAATCAGTAATAAATGGCCACAACAACAGAAATGGGAATGGCTGGGGCTGACTTCTTATCAGTGCTCTTCAAAGCCTCGGCACCCTTCGGCCAGCCACCTGCCAATTCAAGACACTCCACGGCCCTGCTGCAGGGAGGGCCTTCTTTCCCTCCCGTGGCAGAGGGCAGCTGCTGATGGAAAGCAGCCCAGCATCCTCCATAACTTCAAGTGATGTTTTATCTCTTCAGTTGTGCTCAGGCGACTGCATGACCTGCTAAAGAACAGCTGCTGCTGATTCTGATCCTGGCACTGAGCTTGCTCACACCACTTCCGACACCAAATGTGGATGTCCCCACACCAACTCCCCACACAGCGCCGATTCTGATCCTGGCACTGAGCTTGCTGACCTCACAAGCTGGGGCCCAGCCCCACAGTGTTGCCAGCCTGGACCTCCCACACTTCAGAAGGCAGTATCCATACAGACAAGGTCAAGGCTCATAGCCCTCAGGGTTCACCCTCCATGCATTTACCTGCTTATCACAGAGGAGACCAGATGAACAGGGAGGTCTGGGGGTCTCACCTAGCCCCTTAAAGAGCCTGAGCGTCAGCCCGGGGCTGGAATCCCCAACCTACTCACAGCCAGCCCCTTACTTATAAGCAACCAGCCGGTCAACACATGGATTCGAGCTCAAGTGCCCAAGAAAGGGGGTGTGGCATTAACTCAAAGGCAGGCGGGTGGTGGCAAGGCAGGCGTCTTTAATCCTTGAGCTTGAGAGTTCAAAGCCAGCCTATTCTAAAAAGTGAGTTCCAGGACAATCTTGAGGGCTTCGACCCTCTTGTAAAACCAGGTGAAGTTCAAAGGCAAATTTCTCTCATGTTCATGTCTATGTACTCATTTTAGTTACAGACACTTTAAACTGTCTACCTACACACACACACTTTTTTTGAGACAGGGTTTCTCAGTGTAGCTTTGGCTTTCCTGGACTCGATTTGTAGAGCAGGCTGACCTCAAACCCAGAGGTCTGCCTGCCTCTGCCTCCTGAGTGCTGGGCTCAAAGGCGTGCATTCCCCACCACCACCTTGGCTGTCTACCCCTTACAGGGCAGTAACGACAAACCAAAGTCCAACTTGGGAGCCAGTGAGCTCCCGGTTCACCGCAGAGCAGGTGAGGGGCTGCTTAGGAGAGAGTGTGACCCTAAAACGGCCACCCCAGCAACTTCCCCATAGATGCGTAGATGGGGGGCCTCTATGTTCTGTTAGCCTTCCACACCCCACATACTCAAGCTGCTCCCCAGACCACAGGCTCATGCGCAGTTACATACATCCAGCTAAGAGGCGCAGGGGCGGTGGTTGGAGTCCTAGGAGGGAGCGGTCAGCAGGCTAGACCCTGAGAGACCTTTGTGCGTAGTCACTGGTGTAGACAGAGATGGCTCTTAGGCTCAAGGGTGGCGGGGGGGGGATTGAGGGGCTTGGTTCAGGAGCCTCTCTGGATGCTCCTTTGGCAGTAGCGGTGAGCCCCACAAATGCTGGTGCCTAGAATGTGCTCCACGTCTCCTAAACTCCGGCTTCCAGACCCCTCCTCGGGAAGATCCTGGAGGCAAAGAGCCCAGGACCTGAACTTCTTACGTTGTGATATTATACCTGTCAGTTCACACACTAAGACAAAAACTTGTGTTTTCACTTCCACAAGTGATCACTTCCGGGATCTTCAAATTACTCTCCTGAGAATTCCTGTCGTTTTTTTTCTTTCAGACAATGATCTCACTATTTTGTCCCTGACAATGCCAGCGTCACAGATTGGGGGTGTGTGTGATTGTTCTGTGTGGGTCTCCTTGCCTGTTTTAAGTGGCATCTGGGCTGTAAATTACTCTGTGTTCCTTCAGAAGTTATCTGCAGGAAGCTTTCGAACCTGGATCTTGCTTGTGTCAGGGAATGTTTGATTGCTTTTCCTGTTAGTTCCTACTTTTGCTAACTTGCTGTCCCAGAATGCCTTGTAAGCTTTCTCTCTTTGGAAATCACTGTGTGTTGAGGATGTGTCCACACAGCTTACAGAAAAGCACATTCCTCTGGTAGACCAGAGCAGCTCAGGCGGCCAAAGGCAGCTGTTTTGGCAGGAGGCAGAAGGGAGTTCACGCAGGGAAACAATGCCAGAATGGGGCCCAGCCTTTCTCCCCTGCAGCCAGGGGTAGACAGGGGTCTGAGAAGGTGGCCATGGGCTTTGCCTGGGGCTTCCCAGGTTCTGCCTGCTGCTGAGTGAGTTCTCGTTTCCCCAAAGCGACACAGTTGCATGGACCGCTGAGGTGAGGAATCTTCACCAGGATGGGAAACTAGGAAGGGATTCAGTGGTTTACATCGTACAGAGTTCGGGGACCAGGGTGAGCGCCCAGGAGGAAATTGGGCCCCTCCCTGCCAGGCTTCTCCTTCATCTGCCCGGGAGCGTGGGGTCCTCCCGCCTGGAGGGGCCAGCGGTGGGGAGCAGCGCGACCTTGAGTAGGCAGGTCTGCCATCGAACGCTGCGGAAATCCCGGATTGGCCAGGAAGGGATCAGGTTACCCTCTGCGCTGTCAACAGAGGGGCTCCCTGGTTGGGACATCCAGGACTGACCGAGGGGCCCCAGCTGAGTCCGCGGGGAGTGGGAGGGAAACCAGCGGGGCCGGGAGCTCCCGGGGACCCGCGGGAGAGAGGAGGCTCGGAGGAGGGGCGGCCGGGGCGCGGCGCGGGGTGGCGGGGCGCGGAGCAGCGCGCGGGGCCGGGGGAAGCGCGTCGCGGGCCCGAGCCCGGCGGCCCTCGG